ACATATTTAACAGACTTAAGACTACTAAATTTTGTTTTATACTTCTTGCCTCTCCTGAAGTGACTAAATGCAAAAAGTTGGAAATTTTATTTTTATTCTTTCTACTTTGAAAAGATTTCTTTGAACGTTCGTGTGTCGATAATTTAGTAAGTTTTTTTTCTGTTAGATATAACTCCACAACTGATTGTCAAAATTTAAATATTTTTAGCAAATCTAATTTTTACCAAAAGTTAAGAAAAGTTTCGTAAAAATTCTTAATAAAAATTATTCAGATTATTTTGACAACTTAGTCAAGCAGAAAAAAATAAATTTAGGAGACTTCTTAAAAGTTAACTACACATCTCATAAGAATTGAATTTTTTTTTTTGTTGCAGTTTATACAATCAAATTAATTATGCTAAATTCCTATTACTAGGCAAGATTAGTAAGAATTTTTCTTCTAATTTTTTTTTGAGCTTTAGACTAAATTTCCTTATTAGCAAATAATACTAGATCAAAGATTATTGGATGAATCAGGATTATCGCTGCAGCTTAGAATTTATGCATTTAAACAACTGCAAATCTAATAAAGTAAAAAGCAGATAGAGATAAAGATAAATTTGAGCAGATAAATTTTAACAAGCTTACTTCCAGATATGAAACATGCACCAAAAACTTGGCGTTTTCACTTGATGTTGCCTCAAAGATATGCTCAAACGTACGCGGTATAATGCCTTTTGTTTGAGGATCAGAATTATCACCCTGCATTGTATAGGTTTTACCGGATCCGGTCTGTCCATAGGCAAAAACGGTTCCATTGTATCCTTCGATAACACTCTAAAAAAGTAAAGAAGAAAGTTTAATTGACAGACTTCTTATTTCTTTTTTTTCACTTTTAATGGTTCTATCGACTGGCGAGGTTGAATGTATGTTGCGAACGTATGGTGACAAAGTGACAAGGTATAATTTGGCTTTACACTGTAACTTACACTGTTAAACTGAATACTAAAAGTATTCAAGTTTTTCTTGCTGGAATAAATTTAGTCTTATAGGCAGCACAAACGACAAAATTGTTTACTGACAAAAATCGCATAAATTTTTCACTTGTAACCAGAAAAAAAGAGTTACAAATGTTTACCTATTTTTAAAAATTTCTGTTAAAATTTCAAAAACTATACGAAACAGAGTGAATACATAAGAGCGCCTGATAATTAGCCTATATTAATATGCAATTTTGTTTGGCTAAATTTTAAGATAAATTTAAGATTGAAGGACTTTATAATGTTTTATATAGTGCATCTAAACTAAAAGCTTACCAGTGATTAGTCAAAATTCAAGTGATTTTCAATTTTTTTAAAACAAATAAAGGTTTTTTTTTTGCTTAATTCGAAGATCTGTTTTTGTGTGCAAACAGTTAACATTTTCTGTAAATCATTAGAGTTTAGAAGCATTCAACTCATCAAATGGCTTAATCAAAAGCGTTGCCTTAGAAGCTTCAAATACTATTGTTTAACAAACGGCTAAACAACTTTGTGCTGATTAGTCTCTTTTACACTGTTTTTTTTTTTTGATCACTTTTGATTTTTTTCTTTTTTTTTTATTTCAAATAAGATGACAGTAGTTTTATTTGGTATAATTCAAGAAATAATTCAAAAGGAAAAGCAGAAAATGAAACTGTACCTGAAAAATTTCGGTAAAGCATTAAATCTTTTTTTTTTTACATATAACTTGATCTATTTTTTAAAAATAAAGAATTATGTTTTTTTCTGCTAGAACCAGTTCAGAAATCTACTTTGTTTGTACGCTGTTCTGAGAAAAATCCAGTGATTAGATTTAAAGGAAACTGGTTACCTAAAATAAAAGTTGCCAAAATCTGGTATCGAATATCTTTTGAAAAAATTTTCTATCTTTACTCAACAACAATTTAGTTTATTACCACTAAAAAAATGTTTTTTTTTATTATTTGAATATATATTAAAAATTGGGTTCTAACTGGTAATATATTATCAGATATTTCTTCCCAAGAATTTTGCGGATTATTAGGCTTTGAACAATTGACAGTGATCTACTAAAAATTATCATAACTTACAATGAGTGTAGAGACCTTTTCAGTAAGATGTTAAGTTTTTTACACATATAACTATTCAATCTGTTTCCTCAAAATAAAGATCAATTAAACACAGCAAATGTTTCATTTTTATTCTTCAGCTTTTCCTGATCTGTTAAGAAAAAAGGCGAAAAAAATCGTTAATTTAAACGCAACTTTGTTGGATAAAGTAAGAGTATATAAGCTAATCAATATTAATAATATTACCTGGAACTTTTTAAGCGTTTTCAACAGTCAAGCATAAACTTGGAAAATGCATCGATTTTTGATGGCAATACATCAGTTAAGATTTATACTCGTCAACTATGGTCTAAAAGCTAGTTGCTTCCATTTTTTCGAAAGATTTTATGCTTATTATTCTTCGCAAATTCACTGTTTTTCTTTACCGGCAAACCCACTGGTTAGCTGTTTGTTGTTTCACTTACAGTAAATTTATCCATTTATCTGTCTACCTAGTTATCTGTCTCGCTATCTATTTTTCTATCTACCTATCTTTCTACTCATTCATCCATCTGCTTATCAATTTATCTACTTAACTATTTATTTGTTTATTCATTTATTACTTACCTATCGTGTCACCATTTTTAATACCATTATAACAGTTGGCTAAACGCTATTAACATACCTCAACCAACGGGAAAACAATTTCGTCGTAAATTTGTTCAGATGTGGATTCTGGCGGATAAACACCGTCAAAGGTAAACTGTTTTTCGCTGTTATCACTCTGCAGGACAACCTGCCCAGTATCAGCGTACATCTGAACACATGCCTAAAAAAAACGGATGAATAAGTAGACAAGTATAGTCCTAATTCTCATTTAGACTGTAATGCTGCTATTTTAACAGGAAGTATTTTGCGGACCAAAAAAGACGTTGGTGATGAAAGAAATAATATAGGTTTTTGAATGGTGGAAATGTTGTTTGTGATCGGATCCATAAATAACATTTCTAACCGATTGTCCTACTTTCGTTTTTTTCATAACTTTAGCCAGTTAACCATTTTTAATCAAAAAGAAAAAAACAGAAGAAAAAACAATACAAAGTAAAAAAATTCTATTATTGTTAATACGAAAGAAAAGTTTTGTCCATTTTTTTATCTATTCATTTATTATTTACCGCTCGTTTCATTTAACATACCTGTGGAATCTGCGGTTTCTATGCTATGAAATTTTTTGTAGATAACAGGGATTTTATTTGTTGTTTATCGTTCTTAAAGTAGTTTTTAAAAAGTAGGAAAAAAAAATCTTTTCTTGACGCTTAGAAATTAATTGTGAGAATAAATGATAAATTTTTAAACATTATTCTTCTTCAAACAACGCACTAACATAGTTTACCGTTGTTGACAGATATATCAGTTAGCAGAAATAAATAAGTCTCTTCCTTCTTTCTTTTTATTTTTCTTCTCTTGCCTTTTTTTAGGACTCAACTTTACAGC